ATAAGAACCAATATTATATCTATTTTTGCCACTTGGCTTGTAAAGCCTAAAATACTCTCTGGCCTTTTAAAGAAAACAGTTTGCTGACCTCTAGTCTAAACCCTACAAACTCAACCCAGAGATGACTTTTACTAGTGAGTCCTCCTTACTCTGAGGAGGTAAAATACTACCTTACCACATTTTCAGATAACCTATTCAGTGATCAAAATCCTTTGTGAATTGTCAGTACAAAGGTAGATATGGAAGGCAAAATTAAACATTGAAGAGAGAGAGAAAGAACTTACCTGGTTGGCACTATAGTTGGTGGCCATGGTCCTGCCACTTCTGTTTATACTTGTTGCCTGGCAACCTCAGAAGGCAGTCCTTCTGAGATTAACACCTAGTCTGCAGGGGCTGCCTTTCCCTTTTACCTATTACTCACTTCCTTAGTTGCCACTGCCACTGCCACAATCTTTTCTCCATGATACTTAACGTTCATTTTCATTTTACAGAAGTGAGGGATAGAGTAAAAATTAGAAAAGTAGCTGGAAAGCAGCCTTCTGTATTTTTCTAGCATAACTTACCCCTGCCTAAAAACTCTAAAATTGTCTTTGGAGTTTAACAAACTGTGGAACCCACTGCTTTCATTGAGAAATGTGGTGAAGTCAGACCCTGTGTGTGAGTCCTCACCAGAGATACTGAATCGGAATGTACATTTTAACAAGATCCCACTGGGTTGGAAATGTAAATTGTCAGCAGGGTATCCAGAGCCTGCTCTTGTGTCTCTCCTTTTTACATTTCTAGGTCATTATTCATATCACCTACCAAATTTTACTTAGTCACAGAATTGTAAGTTCTTAAAAAGTCTAGTTATCATTCCCATCATGATCATCTTTCTTTTTTTAAGCAATTAGAATGTTTTATTTTTGCAACTCCTTGTAAAATGAGAATAATAGTAGTACTTTCTACATATGGTGCAGACAATTAAACATGACTATCAGCTGATAGGTTAATGGTTTGAACTCACCAAGAGGGTACAATGATAGACTCATAGAGTGATGGAAGGGAATTGAGAACCCAGAAGTAAACCCATTGTTCTGGTTACCTAGTACCGCTCTGACAAGAATATACCACAATGAGACGGCTGAACAAACAGGAGTTTATTCTCTTACAATTCAGGAGGCTACAAGTCCGAGTTAAAGTGTCAGGCTCTAGGAGCTATGTGAAAGCCTCGACTTTGGGCTTCAGCTCTGCCTCCTGCTCCCGGCCCACTGGAACTAGAGGCGTTTCTTCACTCAGACAGCTGGTGGCTGGTGAGGCTGAGAAGCCCAAGGTTGACAAGTAAGAAGGCACAGTCCCCACAGCCAGCTACCCAGAGGGATCGAGTAGTTGAACCAGTAGGCTCAGGACCATAGTCGTAGGGGACATCAAGCTCAATTGGCATAACATACTACACAAAACATTGTTCCACCTACTACTTTGCTGAGTAGCAACTGGGATCTTAAATGCTTGCAAGCAGCCATCTAGATGCAGCAATGGGTCTCTCCTCATCCAGAAGCAAAGAAGAATGAAGAAAACCAAAGATTCATGGAAATAATTAGTCCTAGCGACTGGTACACCATGTGATCCACAGCCTATACAACTATGAGACCAGAAGAACTAGATGGTGCCACTGTTGACCACTTGAAGGGTGATCTATGTAGGAGATCCCAGATAGACAGGAAGAACAATATGGAACAAAACTCAAAATCATTTGGGGGAAAAAAGAGGGGGACCAGGTTTGCTTCCCCAACAGAGCCTGGTGGAACCACTGAGACTATGGCTTTTAGCTGCCCTTCAGGTCTGGAATTGAACCCACGCCTGTGGCTTCCAGCCAAACAAAAGACAGGCATATGAGTTGGACATTTACCTGAGGTAGATGCACTCCTTGGAGAGAACAATCATGGGAGAAAGAAGGGCTGTCTTCACAGGGAGACAGCTCAGGGGGCAGGAGTGCATGGAGGGATAGACACTGGGAAGAGGTAACTATTGGGAAGAAGTGGGAGGGGAACTCTTGCATTGTGGTAAATTGTCAATGTCATGAGATGAAGTGTATGTGAACTGCTGTATGGAAAGTGAATTTGCTCTGTAAATTTTCACCCAAATTTAAAAAAAGACAGTCTTGATGTTACCAAACCACATGGCAGGCCATTCATTTAGGTCCATTGTAAGTCCCAAGGTCAGCAGAGCATGGCAGGATGCTGAACAATGACACAGCTATATGCAGGATCCAAATGTGCCATAACCTTGAGACCATTCTCCAAGGCTTCTGCTTAAATATAGGAACCAGATCACATTCCCTAAGGCAGCTACTCAGCTGCTCACAGTAGATTCCACCATGGAGTTGATTGTCAGTCTCCTCATGGGGAATACTACATCCAGCTGCCCAGCCACTCAACCAGGCCCAGCAAAGTTGACACACAAACTGAACTACCACATGGTCATATTGGCTGAGAATTGCATGGTCTGCTAGCTCCTTGAACTAATTGTTTCCATGTGTCTTTGGTTTTCTTCATTCTTTGTTGCTATAGATGAGAGACCCATTGTTGCATCTAGATGACCACTTGCAAGCTTTTAAGACCCCAGTCTCTACTCACTAAAATAGGATATAGAACAATGTTTTTGTGTAGCATGTTATGCCAATTGAGCTTGATGTCCCCTGTGACCATGGTCCCGAGCCCACAGGTCCAGCTACTGCCTCAAGGTGGTAGCTGTGGCCAAGAAGTCATCATAACTTTGTTAGAAGAGAGTTTATTTTAATCAACAGTGCTGGAAAGCACTAGATACCCATTGGCAGAAAAAGGAAATAGGACCCATATTTCACTGTTGTTGTTGTTATGTGCCGTCGAGTCGGCCCCGACTCATAGCGACCCCTCCTTGGGTTTCCGAGGCAGTATCACTATGGAAGTAGGATTGC